ATCTCAGTTCCACCCAAAGGCAGCAGCCAGCCCTGCCAGGATGTACATCCAAGATCTTCTGCACCCAGAAACACCAGCAGGCCCCGTCCCACAGGGAGTGTGATGGAAACTTAATCGACCCTTCCTTTTGCCCAGTGGGATGTCTTGAAATGTCTCTCCCATGCAAGAAAAACGGGGGGTGAGTGGAAGAGGAGAACCACATGAGAAACCCCATGAAGGTCAACGCTCCAAAACTCGGGCAGGCCTCCCCCTCTCTCCCTCCCCATCTGGACCGAGGATCCCAGGAGCAGTAATCAGCCACCGTCCCCCTTTCAGCCTCTCCTCCGGCCCCTTCTCTCGTGCGCCCCTGACAGCCCGGGCCTGAGGCGGCCCCGCCCCTGAGCCGAGCGGGGACTGTGCCCTGGCCCCGGGGGGGGCAGTACCTGCCAGCCCGCCTCCGCCCTCCTCGCCGTAGCCCCGCCGCCTCTGCAGCACGAAGTATTGGTTGGAGCGCTCCTGCACCCACAGCTTGAGGGCATTTTTCAGCAGCACCTCCTCAGGCTTCAGCCACATCGTGGCGGCCGCCTTACTCCCCGCCGCCGATGCCGCCGCTGCCGCCGCTGCCGCCGCCCATGCCCGCCGCGCTGCCCTGCCTCCTGCTCCACGCACACAGCCCGGCGGTCAAGCCCCGCCGCCGGCGGGAGGACCACGGAAGGGGCGCCCTGCCCCGAGGCATGCTGGGAGCTGAAGTCCTTACCGCCGACTAGCCGCTCAGTGCCGCTGCCTCAGGACTACAGCTCCCGTCGGACCTTGCGCAGCTGCCCGGCCCTTGCCCATGTGGCAGCCCGTGTCCGGACGCCCCGAGCAGCTGAGTTTGGGGGCGCGGAGAAGCCTGTGACAGACTCCGGGGGTCGGCCGCGCTCTGGGAGGCGGTCAGAGTTGTGTCTGCTCCTGCTCCGCAGGCTGGGGCAACTCTGCTATATCTGTCCGGGGCCGCAGCACACTCGGGCCTCTGAGAAGCCTCTAGTGCGTCCCTAAAATGCCTTCATAAAGCAGATGGACGCTTTTTTTTGTCTTCACGGCCACAGGGAGCCGTCCCATTTTAAGTTTTAGACCAAAACAGTTCAATTAGCCGAGAACTTCGGGGTTTATGTTTGCACTCCTGTCAGCACTAAGCCTGCTGCTGCAGCAGGAGCCTGGTGCAGAAAACAATTCAGGGAAAACCTGCCACACGAGGAAGGAAACCATGACCAGCACCTCCACTTCACTGGGCCCAGCACACCACACACAGGCCACACCAGGAGCAGATGAGTGGTCTCACTAGCTGCAGAAGCAGACATATGGTCACCGTTGCCTATTTACATTTAACATCATAAAAATATGATCTGCCTCATTGCTTCCATCACCCAACACTATCCAGTGCTAATTTGGAGTAGAGTTAGACACTCTGGTTACTCTTAAGAGCAGCTTGGCTGATGGTCCCACTGTTTTCATGGTTTGTTTGCAAGATCTTTGGCATTTGTCCTCAGTGACAGCTATTCAAGATTATTTGCAATCTGACTTTACTAGAAAGGGAAAATGAATGAAAATGAATTACAAGTTACTGCGTTAGCCAACATGCAGTAGCTAACCCAGATAAAACTTTAATATTAGAGACAAGGCAAACAGCAAATAGATACAGTAGTGCATTGTTCTTTATGGGGCAGTGTTTTCATTCCTTCCACCTAAAGTGACTCAGAGTAACAGACCTCAGCAGGTTCATGGAGATTTAGCAGCTGAACTGAGAGCAATTCTTGCATGGATGCTGCTTTTACAAGAGTGTTCCCAGAGAGAGAGTTTACCATTTAATTTTTCCCAATTAGCCATGCCCTTGGATATAGGAAATATCTATTAAGGATCTAACACAGGTCTTCTAATTCTGATGCTAATTGTAAGGAAAGATGCCCTTGGCATTTCCAACCCAGAGCTTGGCTTTTGGCGTCTCACACATACTGGACGTGTTAGAACACATGTTGCTTTCTTATGTAAAGATTTAAACTTCTGTAACTGGATAAAAATCTAACAGTAAAATGATACTGCTTGGAAAATGCCTCATTTGTTTTCCTCTCCCTTGGTTCAAGGTCTTGAACGTCTTTTTTCCAATACCCTCAGGCCCTGCATTTTTAACCAAATACTACTAAAATCCAAAGAGTGCCCTGCTATCAGCTTGGAGGAATTTATTTGTAGGCACTTAAACTCTTTCTTAATCAGTGCAAAATCATCCTACAGTCTAATCAATGCATTTTACAGCATCCATTTAGTGCTGTGGAATTTTTCTGTCACTGTATTAAGACCTCCTAGAAACGGTAAATTACATCCCGCAAGTAACAGTAGCCAAGATTATATAAATAAATAGCTAGATAAGTAAATTTTGGCTTCAGTCTACACAACCAACAGTTGAAAACCAGTGTAGAGAATTACATAGCTGTTAATTCACAGTAGGTGAACACTGCAGTTTGGTTTTAAGTTTCCCTTAGGGTCAAAATTAAATTGCCAAAGCCAGGAGATTTTCTTTCATCTATTCCAAAACACCAGCCATTACAGTCCTGTGTGAGTGGAACTCTATCCAAATCTGCACAGGAAAAACATCAGTCTAAACCTGGCTGAAAAGGCAGGGCTACCTTCTGAGCTGGTGTCTGTTAAACACAGAATGATACTACGTTAAATCACACAGCCAAGGTAGATGCGTATATTTATTTTGTCCCAACTGTTAGGTCATTTGACAAGTGCAGATCTTTCCATGTAAAGATTGAGACAGACATACTTCCATTGTATGGGAAGAGTCCAACTGCCCATTTGACTCCAACTGCATTTATATGTTTGCAGCCTCTCATAACAAGTTCTGCTTTTCCCTTGAGCAAAAATCGCAGCTGTAACTACATTTCTAGAGGAACACCTGAACATTTTTCTCATATTTTTCCAATATGAGAAAATGGCATTATTATGGTTTGGGACTTAAAATAAAATCCCACTGCTGTAACGCCTGGTTAACAAGAAAGCACAGCAATCCAGCATCAGGTGACAAGGCTTCCCCTCCTACGGGGATAAAACAAATCTTTCCTAGTCCCCCCTTGGAGAACATGCAAGCATTTGAGTGAAGTGTTTAGATTAGAGCTTTGCTGGGGGAGAAAGAAATGACAGCAGTGAGTAAACACTTGGAGATGATGCTGGAGCCTATTCTGCTTTCTCTTTAGGGCAGAATAACTGACGCATCTGTGTGACTCAACAGAGCCAAAAGGCACACATTTGAGAAACTGTTGTCACTCATGGGCACCTAATTTCCAGTGTCTTACAGTGTATATATAGCAAACTCCATCTATTGCACAATAACAGCAAGTTTGCATGGAACAACCTGATCTCCAGGCACATTTCTGTTTGCCTCTTGCTTAGAGAAAAAAGTCTATCATGCCATAGCGCTCTAAGCAGGGTCAGCTGCAGACAGCTGCTATCCATGGAAACTTGGAAATACAAAGTGTGAGTGGAGCTTTGAAATTTCTTTAAAGTAGGTAAAATTGTCACGACGTTCTCAAAGGTGAAATCCCCAGCAGAGTTCAGTGAAATAAGACAGTGGCTGTTTTTCCCCAAAGTTAGACAGCAAGCCCCAAGTTCAGTATCACAGACTCCATGCATGAAAGTTGCACACTTTCATTTTTAATCAAAACCCTTGCAGAGGGTCATACACAGCTGCAAAAGCAGAGAAGCATTACTTTCTTCGGCCTAGCAGTAGCTCAAATGCTGTTCAGGTACAAATGTTGCATTTATTCCCTTAGTAGTACTTCACATTTGATACAAGAATCCTAAAACCTTCCCAAAGATCAGTGTAAGTGCACTGGACTCCAAGAAAGTCCACATCTTGACAGAACACGTACACATCTAATCCTGTAGCACTGAGTATTGACATGAAATGCTGCATTCCACAGTACTCCACTAGTGAATTCCTTGAGAAAATTCTGGGTATCCACCTTACCCTTCAAAATATGAGTACTGGAAAAAAGGCAGATTTATTGCTCTTAAAAGACAGTAAGTAGAAATGCATGAATCCTATAAACAAAGCAGCCTAAATGCATAGATTGGAACAAAACAAAAAGCCAAAGTGCCTTTCAAAGTATTGAATTGATCTGAATCACACACACACGTGCCCTACCTTTTTCTGAAAGTCAAATCTTATTCCTATTAAACAGAATACTGGCAGATGATTTCATTTTCAGTGTAACAGCATGAAATTCTAGTACATTACAGCTTACACACTGCAATAAGTTTGTAAAATATTTTGAAATGTGAATGAAATTAAGTGTTCAGGTGCTGCCTGTTTACTGCTTAGCTGATTCCTTTCTCTGCTCTGCACTTCAGATGCACACAGAAGGGTGATCAGAGCAAAAATACAGTTTCGAGTGGTCTGATTGGTACTCAGCTTTAGATTTTGAGCCCACAACCAACCAGTGTTTCCTAGACTAGACCTGGAATTTAGCTAAAAAGAAGCACCAGATAACTACTACAAAACTGGCCAAGGGGAGTCACAGGTTTTTGCTACATCTAAAAGTATATTTCAGTACAAAGGGCATTTAATTGTTTTTAAAACATATTGCCTTACAACACAAGCATAAACCTTTGAGTAAGGGAGGGACACTGAGCAACCTGGCAGAGAAGTGAGGTGCAACCTGCCTGATCTGCAGAGTTTATTCAAGACTACCTTGTGCTGAACATGCTGTGAGGAACTGCCCAGAGGTACAAGCACAGCTCACTGCACACACCCTGAGCTGCTTGGATTTTGAGTACAGCTACTAGGCTTAAGCTTGTCAGTACCATTTCAATCCATGTAACAGTAGCACCCTGCACATAATTAGCACTCCTTATTCCAATTAGCTCAAGCAGGCACTGCTGCCTTTTGGCCGCCCAAGACTCATTCAGTTTTAGGGTTGTGAGACAGAGCAAATTCAACATCTATTGCCAGGTAAGAGCTGATAATCAACATTTAGTGGCAGTTAGGGTCATCAAAATATAGTTTTATTTACATTTTCATATTCAAATTCAATACAAATCATGAAATATTTACAACAATTTTAATTGTACTACAGCTAAGAAAATGCATTGCTTTTCCCCTCCAGATTCAATAGTACTTCATTGCAGGCTTTAAGACAAAGTTCTGCTAACATTAGAAATAAGCTATAGATACAAAGATAAAAAAATAAAGTGCATCCACAAGATGTCCTTAGTTATCTTCGCTGAGCAAGGCCCTGCACTTACTATTGAGGCACCCAGTGTTCCTCCTTGACCCCAGTTCAACTCCCCACAGATGACAGACCACTTCTCCAGTATGTTTACAGGACATCAGCTCTCGCTGCAGCTTTAGCACACAGGCAAGACAATGCAGAGCAACACTCCAGCATTTTTCAGAGGCTGGATCACTTTCTGAACAAAACACAGCAGGTCCTTCGGGAAGTACCTATCTTTTCATCTTTAGTTCAGTCTTTCTGAAGTCATCCCAGGCTCTGACAGCGCCAGGACACTGGCATATTGCTGGTGCTAGAGATGGCTCTAACTCCAAAAGCCAGGGAAGAGCTTTCAGGCTAATATTAACAGGTTTGAAAAACTCATGCAATTGTTCCATTTACAGTATCGTGCAAGTCAGATTTGGCCTGTCAGCTTGCAGCTCTCTTTTTTCTCCTTTAGGAATGCGTGGTTGGCAGGTTGGAGTTTAGAGGTAGAGAATCAATCGGCTTACTAGAGAACCAAAGACACTGTGGGAAAAATCCCATTTGACAGGCATTAGTTTGTACTTTCTCCTATCAAATTAGTGCACTGAGATATTAAATACAGTGTTGCTTTAACTGAACCATGTCTGGTAAGTAAGTATTAGACCAGATCAAAATTAATCTGTTTACAATGAAAATCCACTTGAATTAAAACAATAAACAACAACAAAAAAAAGTCAAAACAACTCCCAGGAGAGACAGCTATGACAAAGAATGTTTCTCCGTATTTAAATGACTCAAACACTGAAGAGAAGCTTTGCTGAAGACAGAACTTTTTGTTTAGTGTTAAAATCTGATGTTTTTCTTTATATTTAAGATGGCTTTATGTGAAGAGTGCTAAAACTAAATTCCACATGGGAGACACAGTTTTAAGAACGGCAAACCATACAATTATGATTTGAACAAGTCCATTTTATCTCAGCATTGCCAAGGCAATGTTTTTCCTGCTACAGCCTTGCAATGTTTCATACACATGCAATGGCAATCGGCAGCTCCTTGCAGCTTACACCAGGTCACTGGGAATGTTCTTAGGACCTGACTTCACGAACTTGTATTTCGTCTGCCTCAAAGCTTGGGTTGTCAGCATGTGGAAGGGTATTCACAGCAGGGGGCTGGGATTCATTGTTCACAAGATGCGTGTTGTCATCTGTCCAGAATAAAACCAAGAAAAGACAAGTTAAGAAGTGATACAGACAAGCTTTACTACCTTAAAGCACACCATGCTTGCTTTATTTCCACAAGCCCACTGCAGTGGTCTTTTCCCAGCACTTTTCCTGCAGAGTGGGAGGTCCAAGGCCATGCTCAAACTACTGCTCTTCTGCTACCCCACGTTACTTTGTGAGTCCATTCTTGACATGACTAGTCATTTCTAGAGGTATCTGCTCTGCTCTTCACTTCTCAGTAATGCTGAGCAAGCCTAGGTTGTGTGCTCAAGTGGCAGAAGGCCATGTGAGGCTATGAAATCCATCTATAAGGAGATAGGCAATTCTCATACAACATTAGGGCTGCTGAAGACAGGCATCAGGAGCAACTTCTGGAGACAAGTTTCAGGATAAGCTGTGGAACACAGGCTGATTCAGAGAGGAAGGCCTTCTTCCTACAGACTAAACCTGTTAGGCTGATGTTACATGCATGTCCTTGCCTCGTGAGAATACACAAGGGCATGAACCATATAACTAAACCATCATCACTTCAAGTTGCTTATATGGATACAATTTCAGCTTCTGATGTTTAGCTTATAAGAAATGCCTTCTGCGCTACCAGGGTACCTAAATGGGACGTTCCCATACACACATCACTTGCTGGAGCAACGTGTCCCAAAAGAGGCAGGCAGCAAATCCCATGCTTTCCTATCAGCTAGCCTTCTCCCAGGAAATCTAAGACACATTCAGAGCATCCCCTTCATCTTGTAAAGGTTCCTTACTCTGCTTCCCAAGGCCATTCCACAATCCAGAGTATAGTTACTTACATTTGTTTACCTGGAGCTTTTCCATTTTTAAAAATCAACAAGAACACTGAGTGTGTGTTGGCAAAGTTAAACACTAAAAAGATTTTCAATTGGTTTGCTCTTATTGAAAAATATAAGGTAGGTGGAGAAGCTGGTAGTCTTTTCCAATTAAGATTCTCTAAAAATGCTCAAAGATGTTCAAGCCTTGGCAAAATCTGGAATTCAACTGAAATATTTTTCATCTTTATTTTGCATCATCTGCAAGAGCAGAACTGACTCCCCAGAGGTTTTCTGTATGTAATTAAATAAAGTGGACAGATCTGGTGACAAAGCAACACTCACTCATCCCAGTGAAATCTCCAAAGAGACAACAAGATGAAGGACACCTTCAGAAAAATCTCTTTGGCTTTTAAGTAGTAAGCCTCTGATTTTCAACTACTCTTTTCAAAGACTTAGGTTTCAATTTACATTTAGGTGGTGTTAAAGAGCCAAATGCTAAAACAAAAGACAAGATTATTATTACACTGAAAAACAAGATATTTAAGCACTGCAAGCTGTTAAGGTAAATACCCCTAACTCATGGCATAAGCAACAAAGTGCAATGAAATCTATCAAGAAAGATGAAACTGTAGACGCACTTTCTGATGGTGCATGTTCCTCCAGGACAGATCCGTCTGCTCCTTGTACAGAAGCATATCCAGATGATGCTGTTTCACTACGATTATCCTCTTCAGCAGCTGAAGACACATTTGATCCCTCACTGGATACTGTGACTTGCACAGACTCAACCACTTCTACAGCCTCCTATGTGGAATAAAGGAGAAAACATTTAGGCTGCATCTTTTCAGGAGACCAGTGCCTGTAACGGCTGGAGCCTAGTGAACTTACACCCAGGGAAAAAAACAAAAACTAAAATTGGAAGAAAGCTCTGTTGTTAACCTCCAGCATCATAGGTGAAAAACAGTTACTGCCTATTTGAGTGGGAAGTTCAGATGAAGCTTCTGAATTCTTCAGCCAATTCCAGGAAACACAGATTCTTCCTTCCACTCAGTGCAGATCTCCCTTCCCCAGGCGAACCCTGGCATACATTTAGCTGGTCCAGGCAGTGCCAGGCATTGGCAACATCTTCCCCTGGTATCTGCCACAGCTAGCATTTGCAGAACACATCAGAAATTCCTTATGTATCCTAGGAAATCATGTGGCTCCAGGAATGGCATACATGCCAACACATGCACTTTTCAAGGACTCCAGGCACTTAGTAACTTTATAAGGGCTGGTTACAGGGACTGAGTTGCCAAGTCTGCCTGAAGCTTAGAGAAACATCCTTAGCTGCGAGCACAAGAGTTAATTCTTCAGTCACACGTTATAATCGGTTTTGGTTGACATGCTGCCAAAGGTTTTAGATGATAGCAACTCGGACCAAGTCAGCTGCAAGCTTCACAGCAGTTATAGCATCTCTACACTGACATGGCAATGCCTGTACTTACTACCTGTGCTCTAGAAGCACCATGAAGTAGCTCATATGTGGTTATTACTCTAGCTTAATAACAGCATCTGCCACTAAGACAGTCTCATGGCTTACCTCAACACCCAAAACTTTGAGTATGTCACACTTGCACATCGGGCATGTCCTGTGTTCCAGAAGCCAGGGGTCAATACAGTTCTTGTGGAAGAGATGGCTGGTGGAAGAAGGCAACCACGAGTTAGGTTTCACACCGGGAAAACTACTTATGTGGCAGCTATGAAGGCCCATTTAGAAATACCAAGAATTTATTTATTCTGTTACCCATCTGAGAATGGATTACATTATTTTTCTCTCTCAGCTTGCTAAACTTGCTGGAATTCAGCATTACTGTCTTTGCTACATCAGCCTTAAGCTTTTATTTTTCTTATTCTTTTGTTTTAATCTGTGTACAATACATTCCCAGCTGATAATTTAACCAATACAAATAGTGACATCTCAGTGCTAGCTTTAAGGTTAAATTCTGTCATGCAGATGATGAAATAGCACTTGTTTCTATAAACCTATATAGAACAAAATCATCTCACACAGTTATGCCATCAGATAAAATGTACTCCCACACATTTACTTTGTCTATGCAGTCACTGTGTATTCTAAGTGGATATTTAGCAGGCTGTGTACTCAAGGAAGTAAATATAGTTCAGCCATTACAGATGCAAATGTGCACTTCTGTGAAGACAATTCTACGAGTCTGAATTAAGCCACAGACTTTGGAGAATGGCTTAAAATCCTGTAATCTGCTCATTCCCTCAGCCTGAATAGAAACAGCAAGACAGACAGGCACTGCTCAGTATTAACCAGAACTCTATTATGAGACAAGTGCAGAAATCACCACATCCAGTGCTCAGTATCCTACGCCCCAGACTGATACTAGCATTCTCCAGTTCAGCTCACATAGCCAGCGCCTCCTTCCAGCTGCACCAATGTAATGTCTAGAGTACAATCTGAAACTTCCTTGATGCGTGACTATTTTGAGTACTTGGAATTGATATTGGTCTTGCGTACCTCTGCTACTATAAATGCCTCAGTCTGACTATCTGGACAAGAATGCCTTCCACAAATACACACACCCCAGCTACTTAGATAGCACCGATGTGACTCACAGGAGCAGTTGACTGCTTGTTTCTTTCACGGACAGAGCTAAATGCTTTCAACAAATAGGGTCTCAGTGTAGAGGTCAATATCAGTTTAACTCATGTGAGAGAATCTACTATGGTTGATACTGGCAGAGGTCACCACTTCTGAAGGTTATCAACTAAATGCAGTGATCTTAACCCTAAGAGCTACATTTGGGCCAAAGAGGAATGAAACATCACAAACGTATGTAAAGGCAGTCTCAAGGCAAAGCATAAAGAACACATTCAAAAGAAGTTACTCTCCTCTTAACCTAGTAAGTCATGCTTTGTTTGCAGGTTCATAGGAAGATTGTCAGTTTATAGAGAAGTCAGGTCTTCTATCAGCCAAAGGTATCTAGAGCCTGTCTAAATGCTTCTGTACTTATGGGACTGACTTCATTGTTAACAGGACTACCCAAGAGAATAAACCAGACAACTGAATAATCATTAACACATGCTTGAAAACTTATTCAGTTTTGGTGTTTCCTAAACTACAAGATTAGATCAAGGAAGTTTGTTCATAACAACTTAGCAGGCCAAGCTGGTGTTACCAAAACAGCTTAGAAGTCCTACTGCTTGGGAGCGGAGAAGGCTTGTGCAAAACGGTAACCTGGCACAAAGGTAACCCCTCCCCAGATTTTACAGTGTTTGACAAATAACACTGCTCAACACACAACAGCAGCTACAGTTTTTTTCATTCTTCAGAACTTGATTTTTCCCCCATGTCAGACTTTTTCCAAGTGCTTTGCTGTAACCTTTCCCAAGGGGTACAAAGCCTCTTCCTACACAAAATATGTGCAGTTCAAATTGCAGCTCGCTGATTTCAGAAGCTTTGTCACAGCAGTCCCAGTCAGCAGGCACAGTGGGAAATCCCACAGAACAAGTTTCCTTAAGCCCTGAGAAAACATCATTGCTCATCTTGGGAGCAATCAAATTAAAGTCTTAGTGCTACAATAGCAGCCTTCCACAGAAGCACAGCAGTGAGATAAAATAGTTTAGAGTTCTAGAAAAATAAACTGCTGTAGCGCTGTTTTGGTCTCTATTTCAGATGATGCATACAAGAATAGAAATGTTTTCTTCTGAAATACAAAACTTGGCATGGTTTAACAAGTTCAGTGGGAGCTTGACCCTCTTCGCAACCAGTAAGCTAAGTGAAAAGAGACAGTTTTGTCAGTTATCTACAATTTATAGGTAATATTCTTATACACCAGCAAAGGAATAAATCTGTAAAAAGCCCTGGCAACTCTTGGAGAGGGATGTGGTTCTGCCAAGTTTCACTTGCCAATGCACTCATAGGGAAAGTTATGAACATAGGCCATTAGGGCACATGCGAAAGTGTGAATTTAGACAGTTCCAGTTTTCAAAATACTGTCAAATTCAATAATTCTTGTCATGCAACAGCTCAGTTAAAGTTTGATCATTTTTGTTAATACAGCAGAAGGAAAAACATGCTTCCCAATTTTGGATTAAGGGGCAGTTTAGAAAAGAACTTACTTGCAAGTCAGAATACGCACTACTTCATTTGGCTTGTACAGCTCAATGCACACCACACAGCTATCTCCATCAGGACCAGTTTCCTAAAATGGTGAAGACAAACAAATCATAGAATAGTTAGGGTTGGAAAGGACCTTAAGATCATCAAGTTCCAACCCCCCTGCCATGGGCAGGGACACCTCGCCCTAAATCATATTACCCAAGGCCTCATCCAACCTGGCCTTGAACACTGCCAGGGATGAAGCATTCACAACCTCCCTGGACAACCCATTCCAGTGCCTCACGACCCTAACAGGAAAGAATTTCCTCCTTATAACCAATCTAAACTTCCCCTGTCTAAGTTTTAACCCATTACCCCTTGTCCTACCAGTACAGTCCCTAATGAAGAGTCCACCCCCAGCATCCCTATATGCCCCCTTCAGATACTGGAAGGCTGCTGTCCATCAGTTCTGTGGCACCATCATAGAAGGCCACCGAATTGGTCAGGCAGGATTTCCCCTTAGTGAAGCCATGCTGGCTGTCACCAAGCACCTTGTTGTTTTTCATGTGCCTTAGCATGCCTTCCAGGAGAATCTGCTCCAAGATTTTACCAGGCACAGAGGTGAGACTGACTTCTCCGTAGTTCCCTGGGTTTTCTATTTTCCCCTTCTTGAAAATGGGGGTTATATTTCCCTTTTTCCAGTCGTCAGGAATTTCACTTGACTGCCATGATTTTTCAAATAGGATGGACAGTGGCTTAGCAACTTCATTCGCCAGCTCTTTCATGACGTGGGGATGGATTTCATAAGGACCCATGGACTTGTGCACATTCAGGTTTTTAAGATGGTCTCTAACCAGATCCTCTCCTACAGTGAGCCCAAGGGCTTCATTCTCACAATCCCTGCATCTGCCTTCAAAGACTTGGGTGGTGCAGTCAGAGCGTTTGCCACTGAAGACCGAGGCAAAGAAGTCATTCAGAACCTCAGCCTTCCCCAAATCCAGGGTAGGCAGTTCTCCCTGGAGAGAAATAGCTTCTGGAGAGGGCCCACATTGTACGTAGTCCGTCTTTTATTTGATACATACCTATAGAAGCCCTTCCTATTATCTTTCACACCCCTGCCAGACTCAATTCTAACTGGGCCTTAGTTTTCCTGACCTGGTCCCTAGCTTCCCAGAAAATATCTCTGTATTCTTCCCAGGCTGCCTGTCCTCACTTCCACCTTTTATAAGCTTATTTTTTCCCCTTTAAGTTTCCTCAGCAGCTCCTTATCCATCCACGGAGGTCTCCTGGCCCTCCTGCCAGCATTAACAGACTTTGAAAGCTTCCTTTTGAACAGCAGATTTACTGCAAAGGGGACTAAGGTAATCTAAGAAAGCTCCTGTATATAATCTTATATAAACACATTGTGTAGATTACTCATAGTCAAGCTGACACTTGAACAGAAGCACTGAAAATCTAATCCCATGGTTTAGAAGTCCAGCTGCAAACCATCACTGGATTATTTGAGCCACTACTGTAGAGGTTTATAAACTTCTACCTCCAGTTTTAATTACAGAAAGAATAGCCAGGGAAGCTGACTAGCTGTATTAGTTTACCATTAAGCATCCATGCCAGCAAATTAGGACCTCTCGCCTCAGCAAGACCACAAATGAGCAGCTAAAAAAAGTAATCTGATTTATAAGAATGTGCAAACTGGAAAGTCTTACACCTGTAAAAGGACCTGCTGAAAGAGGAACATCTCTGAAATGGACAGCTACAGGCTCAGAGAGACTTCTGCATCCTGCTCCAGTGGTAAGGATCACTCTACAGGTTCTGTGCAAAGGGTGTGCTGTAACACTCAGGAGGTCACAGGATCAGTCATACCTTGTCCCCTTGCTTCAGGGTGCGCAGCTGTAGCTGTTCAATGGCCTTCTTGGCTTTGGCCTTTAGTTGTCGCTGTAAAAGAAAGCAGTCCTGGTTAATTAAACATAGTAATTTTTCTCTGAAGTGGTGGTTACTAATACTTACCAAGGTGTCTACTGCAAGCAGGCACAGGCTTTATAGCCCAGGAGTATCAAAACCAGCCAAGTAAGCATGACCACACTATTTAGAGACAACACAAAAGAGCTTTGGAAAATACTGATGTGGTTATTGACTCTGGATGACACACCAATAGGGCATTTGCATATGCTTTGTTGTCACCTAACCTTTTCATAAAGCATGGGAATGTCAAGAGTTTCTTCTTTGAGAAGATACAAGATGATACCTTGACAACATTAGACCTAGCCCAAAAAAACAGAAGCCTTCAAATTGATGTGGTACAGAAGACTGAACGTTGAGTCTGACGATCAATAGTTTTAACTACTCACTTTATAACAACATCCTGCTACAAATTCACATCCTGGTGAAAGGTGAGATTCTTTACCCATCGGCTCAGCTACCACCAACACACCCTGAACTAGTCCTCTGCCACGACAGAGCACACAAACACATCAGGAGCCTCCTAACACCAACCACTCCAGTCAAGTGGAAGAACATAGTTTTATCTCAATACTGGTTATTGGTTCAAAGTAATATGCACAAAGGAAAGTGAAAAAATGAAATAGGCTGCTTGTCACCCTCCCTGTGACACAGGGTGTGAAACAAATGAAATTATTAGCCCAGGGGGATTACAGGACAGCTTTAATGAAAGCAGAGAAGAAAGCATTCCCCTTCACGTGATTATTTGCTCACTGCTGTTGGGCTAGCAGGGCAAAGATGGACAGACAGCAAAGCCCAGCTTGCCTGGCAACTGTTGCTGTTTAGCTGCATTGAAACACATTTAATTAGCACAGGAGCCAACATCTCTGTTTAAAGGTCACAGGTTGGTGGGGTTCCACCAACACAGAGAATGTAAGTGTCCTCTCCCTCCCTGGTGCACTGCCTCAGGACACAGAGGTACATGGGACAGCTCTGGCGCTGCCATCGCAACACAGCACTTCCCTTAGGGACAGACCAGACACAAGCTTTGCAGCTCACCAAAAATCCTCTTTCCCAATTCAGCTGCTCAGTGCAGGAACCCCACACTATTAGCATTCCACCATTACTTATCTATGCAGTTCAGCCCCTTTATAAGAATCTTTCCTGGGATGAAGGCGCAGTGCTGGTGGCACAAGCACAGAAGGAACAACAGAACATGGAGGGCTGCTGCTGACACCCAGCAAACTCAGCGAGAACTGGTAATTCAAGTCTGCATAAGGTTCCCTGTGCTGAAGCAGTTAATGGCAAGCAAGTTGATTTATATGGTCCATGGGACCCCATCAAACAGTTTTTGTGCAAAATGATCCATCTGTATATAGTGTTGTTTTGGGGTCCTGAGATGCAGCATCAATGTGCATGCTTTGAGGATTTTAATACTTGATAGTTATTAGCAGTTATCAAGGAAGAGATACAAACAATCAAAAGGTGAAGAATGCAAACAAGCTTTCAGGTTTGGGGTTTTTGTTTGTTTGTTTGATGTTTTTTGGGTTTGGTTTTGTTTTTTTTTAAGGAACAGGAACTAGTCAGATTTTCTTTGGAGCTTGCACAGTTCTTCTGTTGAAGACATCAATGCATGGTTCTGTATGTCACTTGAGGTTGAGTTTGGAATGATGTTCACTTTGTCAGTGTCTTGGACTGAAGCCATAAAGAAGCAGCATACATCCATCTCAGTACACACTGAGGTTCCCAAAAGTTTCAGCAGCAAATGTGGTAACATTGACACAGCAGGAGTGCAGCAATAGTAGTACTTCTCATACACTGCCAGAGCTGTCTGTCATCACTACTCATTAGCAATTGAAAACTAAACTTTCTAGGAATGTACTCCCTCCTGCAGTATCTAATCTACACATCTCATGTCAGGCCAAGCATATTAGACAGGACCCAGCTGGCTGTATCATTAATAATTTACTGGAACAATATTTTAAGTTTTGCCTGGGCACAAGTTTAATTGCTCTGCATGAAATGCACCAATGGCAGTGTCACCTTTAACACTGATTTTGGTAAGTACAGGAGAACACCCCTCCGGGGGGATGGGAAAAGGTGGCAAGAGGAAGCTTTCTATTGAATAGCCCACCGGGAGATCCAAGACACCTGAGCCTGGAATGTCAAAGCATTTACTGAAGCCAAGTTTTTCAAGCAAAATGTGAAATGTTCCGCTTCTAAAAGCACCAACCTAGCAAATATAGGAAAAAATAGCTAAGTTGAGGCAGGGAAAAGAAGAGGAATAGAAGATACTACAAAACTGGCCAAGTCCTGGATCCAATCCAGAACCTGGCATGTTGAAGGAAGTAGAGAGGTGCCTAACTGGGAAAATTGAGTTTTCTGTTGCATAGTCCAAAATGTTTCCTAGTCCAAAGCTGCTGATTTTAAGGGCACCTTCCTGGTATCCTGTGAGCATAGTCCTGGTGATGCAGACCAGCAAGCCCTAAGGAGGTCAGGAGCTCATGCTCTTCTCCTGTGAGCTAACAAAGTTCTTCTCCACAGGTAACTACTGCCATGAAAGCAGCTTTGACTTGTGGGAAGTTAAGCAACTCGCCTCCTCCAAAGCCATTAATTAGGTCATTTCTCAGCTGTAACATCTAATCTTTACGAAACCAATGGAAGTGAAAACTTGAGCTTAAGTTAGAAACCAGGCCACAGATAACATCACTGGCCATTTTGCATTATTAAGAAAGGTTAATATATTGGGGAACTGACTTTGCCAGTACTCTGCTAACTAGAAAGTTAGCAAGCCTCCTAGCATGCTTGCCTTGTTTTTCCATCTTCTTGCCCACAGACCTCACGATGCAGTAAGATATCACAGAGGTGAGGACTTGAATTTCAAGCCCAGATGAAAATATGCATTCAGATAAGAACTAGCAGGTTGTAAACAGTTTAGCTAACTGGCTCATGAGAGAAAAGCTACCCTATTTTAACTCAGTGAGGACAGATGTGCTGTTGAAGTTACATTTTCACTTGGACCACAAGGCACCATGACTAGTTCTTCTCAACAGTCACTCAAATTCTTAAAGAATCTCTTTTGCACAGGTTTATGTTCCTGACTTGTGTGCAATTCCTGCTCAAACTGAGTGAGAGACAACTGCTGCCTTCAAGAAAAGCCTGCAGCAGAGAACATATTTAAAAGCCAGGTTATACATGACCAAGCCATCCAGAAAAAGCACCTTCACCAGAAGATGAAGAAGCAAGTAGTCATCCCAAGAAGCATAGAAACTGTATTGACAAATTTTAAAGGTACTCAGCAGCCTGGCTGTATAAAATAAGAGAAAGGCACTCCAAAAAATCTTCAGACTAGTGCTTTCTGAAGATTCTTCTCAAGCCAAAAGAAAAGGAAAAACACTGCCAATATGGTAATACCTGGAAGGCATCCAATTCAAGCAGGGGTTACTACTAATTCCATGCATGAATGAATGAATCATGTATCCAGCCAGGCTCTTTTTTTTAAGAGCCTTTGCAGAAGAGACAAAGCATCTAGAAAATGGTCTCCACTCTTCCTGTTCTACCCTTTAGTGAGCAAGTGGGACTCAAGTTCCATTACGCTTTGCAGTCCAGGGTGAGTGCTCCCCAGGACTGTGCCTCAGTCCACAAGAATGAGCCAAATATCCAGGAACCTGGACATACAAGGGATAAGCTGCAGAGCATGATTATCACATATAACAATTAGCTCATCACAGCACTCTGTAGAGCAATTTGAAAGTGCTTGCTTCAGTTCAAGTGGTAGACTGACACTTTAAAAGTGTCCTCACACAGTAGTGATGTAATCCCACAGGGAAGGTCAAAAAGCAGACAGATACTTTGAAGAGCAGAAACACTGGGTAAAGGGATGCATTCAGAACAGCAGTTCACTTCAAAAAGAAAGAAAATGTGTAATACCTAATTATCAACACTCTTGACTGCTTCCTGAAGACATAGGATCATAGAATAGTTAAGGTTGGAAGCATCTCCCCCCAAAAACATATAACCCTTCAACATCTGTGCAATAAAAGACAAAAAACAATCATTTACCCCACATAACAGGCTGAAGTCCAGGCAATCTGAGTTTCCAAAGGGCTGAACAATGACGGGAAAGCCCATGACATAGTATACATACTGATAAGTTGTTTGACTAATATTCAGTATTTCAAACCAGTTAGAAGTCTCAAACTTTGGATATACACTGAAGATCCAATCACCTGGCTAACAGGGAACACTGATATCATCACCTTTTGGAAGTTCACCTTCACTACCAAGAACTTCTTGTTATTCTTTGCTTATCTAATCATTGTGAGGGCAGTTTTTATGTGCCATGGTATGAAAACAATAAAAAACAATCCTGGATTGTCTTGAGTTTCACTTTTACAAAACAGTACATTTTTACCCCTGATAGCAGAGAAGCTTTCTTCTACTCTTATACTTTATAAAACACTTTATAAGGCTCCTTAATTTAAGTTCAGCTGAAATCATGTGGAACTGGCATGCCATTTATCAACATTATTTTTCAATCTACAGTAAACTCCTTGTGCACACAGAGCCCAAGATAGAAATGGTTTGCGAAGGTGCTAGCCAAGCAGACTGGATTTTCCCAGTACCGTCTGCCACTGACGCATTAATTACATTTGTAGCTTGCTGAAAGCCTGATAGCTCAGAATAGAGCTGGACTTCCACAACTGCTCTGTTAAATACCTTCAAAAGGAAGAAAAATTTTCATGTGATGTGATAAGTAGCTCTTCTGCCAACCAGCTTCTAGGGTGTCCAGTTTTTCCTGCCCAGGTCTGTTTAGCATTAAACAGAGTTGCCACACTAGGGTAGATGACAGGGAATGAAAGAGGGAATCCATCATTCATCTCAGTTCACAATGTCAGCAAGAGGACAGCATCAAGTTAAAGTTCCATGCCATCCCTCATGAAAGGTATTAGAGGCAACTCTGTATTGCATCCAGGAGTGGCAACACTACCTCCCATAGGCAGATTTCACATCCAGTACTGCTTTTCCATCTGTTCCCTTATTGTAGCCTCACATCACTTCCATGTGTGGCATAACATTAGAACATGCTATCAGGCTAAAACAAAGCACCTAGGTGAAGCCTAGTCCAGAAGTTGGGGCAGATGCAGCTTAGACAAGGCACAGATACAGTTCAGCTCACTGTTACATCCCTAGTTTCAGTAAAGATAGAGCCAACTGACCATAATCCATGAGATTACACTTAGACAACAGGACTTCAGAACAGAAACTCCACTGAGTTAGTTTCTGTGATTACTACAGAACCAAGCATTCAACTCCAGGAATACTGCTGTCATTCACCTTCACTAGTCTATCTGCCTTCCAACAACAATAGTTCTGCATGTTAACCCTTCAAATAACCCAGTCCTAAACTGTTACAGAAGCCCGAAACTGGGTTGATTTTCAACACCTGTATCCAGCTTCTAGTTTCACCAGCTTATTTCAGAAGGATCTTGCTCAAGGGGCCTGAAACCTCCAAGACAGCAGAGAAGCTGTAGGACAGTAGGACAGGTCTTCTGCAATGGCAAAGAAGTCTGTCCCTATAGCCACTGATCCAGAGATAATTCACATACTCTGAGCCCAAGCTAGAGTGCAATGCCCATGCTATTGCTGTCTGTAGGAGAGTACTCTGTAAGAACTTCTGAGTTCAGGCAGGTCCTGCAAGAAGCACTGCGGACACTAATGGTTTCCCTTGCAACACAGCCGTAAGGGAACAGCTGAAGTAAGTACTCATATCTAAGCCACTGATTTCCTGTTCCTGCTGCTGCCCATCACCTTTGACAGATGTCATACCAAGACTTTCTTCTCACTTTTAAGGCTTTTGCTTAAGCCCTGAAGTGGCAGGTATAAGGCAGGTCTGATCAGATTGAAGACAAAACTGGAAGCATTAATCCCATCAGCTTATTGCACAGAAGGGAGTTACTTGGAAACTTAACTCATTAGCAACTCCCTGCCTGGGGTTTAAAAAGAACACAATTTAACAGTGCTTTTTATCAACTCCTAATTGAGGCTGTCAGTGCAATTCCCAGGAGGCTTTCAGTCAGAAAAGCAGCAGCTTCCCAACTTGTGGTCTGCAGAAAGGCAGCCAAAGCCATGTACTGTTTTACAGACACATTTGCAGTCGTGTCTCACCTTGCAGCTAGCACATAGGCAGTGCTACGTGGGAAGTGTGAGGGTCAGCTAAAAGCAGTTCAGCTCTCTCACCGCCTCCAGTACATCAGCATTATGGCTGCGCTGCAATTCAGTTGTAGGAGACAAAGTTCACTAAACACAATCAGTTGCCTTCTTCAGACAGTTTACTTTTTGTGGTCTCTTTGGAAACTTCTAAGCTATTTCAAGATCTGTCTCTTAGCATTTTAAAGGTCACACTCCTTCCTGGGGAATGAACAAATGCAGTGATTTTGGTGTTCAGTGAGTATCTTGCCCTCAAGATCCACAGCATGGAGTCTCAGGGGTATGAAAGAAACCCTCAACAATGGCACACACAAGCTCACCTGGTTCCTGGACTGGGCCCTGGCAATCCTGAGTCTCCGAGCAGAGTAAAAAATAAAGTAGCCCATGGTTGCTGCTGTGACAATGAAAAATGACACTGAGGTGAAGAAGATGGAGTACTGGTTCATCCAAGGACCGTGCTTTTTCCCCACTTCAATAACCATAGTCACTTTCATGCCACTCTCAATCCGGTGTAGGATCTCCATGCCTTTCACATTGCCAATCATGATTGCAACGATGCTTTCAGCACCTGCAAAGGAGAAGAGGAATCCATGCTCAGTTCACAGATGTTGTTTGCAAGTCATTGTCTTAGATGTTCCAGTTCAAGTGCTAAAAAAAGACTGGAAAGTTTCTAACTACCCCTTGCAAATTCAACATGAGCTGACAGAATGTCATCTCCATGTGCTTGTTCAGCTGGAAGCTGTGTCCCATTACCTATAAGCTGCAGAAGTGAGCCATATTTAGAATTCATTCCTCTCCACAGCATTTCTCACTCCCATATAGGACACAGACTGTCATTATTTTAGATTCAACACTTCCATGATTTACATTTTAACATACCTTTGATCTGTGTGAATTTAAAAATGAATCCTACACAATCACTAGGGACTGCGGCAACTCCAGGAGCTCAGAGGTGCCAGATACACCACTGGTGGCTTAGGCACCCTTCCTGCTGCCTTGCTACTTCTTTAACACCTCTTTCCTAAATTTGGCAGTGCTGTTGAGTACTACCCCAGACACTGAGCAATCGAAGCCATAGATCAGGCATTGCTTTGGATTTTCAGAGGAAGTGACTAAAATTTCCTTGTAAACTGCAAATGATGTAGGTTTCTAATGCAGATTTAGAGGGAAGCAAATACGGAGGTGTGCTTGTCTTGGTGGCAGTTGGCAAACTCCATCCAGATTTTAACAACAGATTTCATTTACTCAGTTGAACATCATGACAAACCACCAGAGGAACCCAAGGGGTTACACAGTAGGAAGAAATTTCCAGCAACTGTGGTCACCAAGTACAGGCCAGAGCAAAGCTGCTTCCAGTGACAAGCAAGTGATTGAGGACACCTGATAGATACTATTTGCAATAACTTTGGGCAGTCCCAATAGAAGAGAAATGCTCTTAAGTGGAGGAAAAAGAAAGGTGAGGGGTGGGGTGTCAGGGGGCATAAAGGGAGACAAGTAAATGGTCACTGGCTTCTCTCTAAACTAAATCCAGAAGTGGTTCAAAGACTAGCCAGTCAGGAATGTCACTGCATTAAACCATCATCTCCACAACATTCATAATAGATACGGCACAGTGAAGGAAAGAGGCTGTTACAGAAGTGCTATTTTTAGCTAACCTCCCACCCAAACACTTCTCAGTGGGGGGAACAATGTTTTTTCCCCTCCATAAGGAGAAATCTTATCCAACTTTCAGCTATCAAGAAAACCTAGAATAGCTGTTAAAACACAAAGGCTCTCATTTCACCATCATTTCAGAAGCACTCACCAAGTTTTCCAGCTTGTTCACATAATGCCTTTGATCCAACATGGCTAAGCAGGATGTCTAGCAACTCTCCTCAGTGTGACTAAACTCATCTTTTATTCAGAAAGCTCCTTGTAATGAGAAGTACATCATACAGAGAAGAGGGGAAAAAATAAAACAAACAAAAATAACAGCCAGACTGCAGCTTCTGTTCTTCGTGATAAGCTAGGGCTTATACATCAGTTTTAAAATGAGCTGGAGTCAGGTGTTAGGAGCAAGCAAACATGGGTCAAGCCAGAAGGTGAGAATTACTTTCATAAGCATGAAATGAAGCGTGGAAAAACAGGCTGTGACAACAACATAAAAAGCCTGCCAAAATAAGCAAAAAAGCTTGTTCTGCCTTATTCCCCTTCACTTCTGTGTCTCACCAGTCAAATATAGCTTGTGGTTACACGCAACACAAGATGTAGCGTAGGGATTCCTGTTAACGAAATGTCACCATCAGCCTGCAAAACCATTTCAGCTACTGAGCCATCGGTTGTGAACAAATTTTACCCTTAAAGAAAGAAAAATCTTCCATGTAAGTTTCAGGCTGATCAGCTCACCAGGCTGTCATTAGACAGTTTTAAGCCTTCCTGACATTTTTTCCCACCAGCGACTTCTCTCACAATTTCATCTCTGCTTTAAACACGTGAGTGGTCCACTGGTAGCTTTGACACTGAAGCAACAAGGGCAGAAGTGGGAGAGTGGTCATTTCCATCAGCACTTGCAGTACTCCCTCCCCCTTGTACGCTGATGCCCATCACTGGGGCTGTGCTCCATCTTCAATATTTTGTAATGCCAACTCTTAGGACCAGTGATTAATTTCTAAAGGCAATTACAGGGGAGCTAACCTGGCATCACATGAGGTTAACCAAATGCCTTGTGCCAGCAACAGGGGAAAGGAATCCAGAAACTGCACCTACTTTCTGGCCACAGGAATTTAGTCACATCAGAAGCTCCTTTTGGACTAAACATGTCTCTGGCACCATCACACAAGGCCTGTCATAAAGGTATCACCCCTACCTGGCAGAAAACAAGGCCTCCTTCACCTGCCAAGAGGAGATTCAATGATGCCCTATTAGCCTGAAGCTAAGACAGAAGCCCAGAATCCATGTTTAGTATTACTGCTGTGCTTTTAGAATAAAACCAGCTAGGGACATCCCCTATCAAGTGCTTCCTGAGCTGACAGATGGGTCCCATTGTGACAGGTACTGAAACATGTTACTGTGGCCTTGAAACCACCAACCCAACCAGAGGCCTCTGACAGTGCTTGGGCATCTTAATGGCAATGAGGAGACAGCATTGGAATAGGTTGGCCAGAGAGGTTGTGGAGTCTCTTCCCCTAGAGTATTCAAGAACTGTCTGGACACAATCCTGAGTAATGTGCTCTAGGTGACTGGCTTGAGCAGGAGCTCGGACAAGATGACCTCCAGTAGTCCCTTCCAGCCTCAACCATTCTATGATCTGTCTCAAGCCATAACAACTGCCCTGAACTGTCAGCTTCCCCCTCCAGACACCAGCAAAGCAGGAGGAAAGGCAGTTATCTGTGCATGGCAAAAACTTCACACAAGCTCCTCACCTAGGTGTCAGCTTTTCTGATTCAGGTAACAGTTTTAAGGGTCATCAGAAGGCGAGGTTAAGCTGCTGCCTGTTTAGCTAATAATGACCTCATTGCTAAACAGAAGCAAGACCTGTTTAGTTAAACATTTCCAAGCCTCTCTCCTCACCCATCTCCTGTGAAACTGGGGAAGAGGAAGTTTTTCAGATCTTCAAATACAGTTTTGGAGTTTTGCAGAAGGTATCTCCCAGATCATAAGGCAGCACACTGGTCAAAGTCTGAAGGATGCTGTTTTGCAGATATGGGCTGGCACAGATGAAGCACAAGAACTGGTTTGTCGGCATGGGGAAGAGCTGGGACACAAGCACATTTGGCACACAAGGAGAGTGCATGACTGGGATCAAAGTTTTACCTTCCTGTATCAGGTTTACTTAGATGCAGAGTGGAGTTGCATCTATTTATACCAGTATAAGTACCTATATTAAATTCTGCCCTGCAAAGACTTCACTTGTTCTACCATTACACTTCTGCTCCCCGTAAACATGAAGTTACAGGTTTGGCAATTCAGTAGAGAAATACAAGAGGTGCACAGAACACAGAGCATTAACTTTTGCACGGTAAGCACCTACCTTTTCACATTTATTAAGGGTATTATTTTAATCCAGTGCTACTCCTGTGTGTGTTACAGAGCAATCTATTCTGAACCAAGCAAATTGTAGGTCCTGGGGAACAGTCACCCCATAGACTGCAATGTAACCTCATCAATGCCTTAATAGCGTGTGGTTCTTGGCTAAAAATCACAATCTCTTCATGCATTAAAGCACAATGAGGCAAGGATTAGATCTTGGGGCCAACCAAATCCCCTACTTTAAAATAAGATACAGCAAAGCATACCTGATTACCTGATTCAGATCAAGTATACACAATGTACGGGATAACCAGAATTTTAGCTCTTTGAGCTGCTGCATGTGACTAAATTCCAGATGAGCAGGCACCCATGTGCCATTGGAAAGTATGGCAGGACTCTGTGGCACACCTCTAGGTAACACTTGCATTGCAGATCCATGCTAGAGCACAGCACTGATGCCTCCACAGTGTTTCTTGCATAGCTATCATCATAAACCCTCTCCCCACAGAAGAGCTAAGAGGAGTTGTCATGGTGTGCTCAGGGTGAACGAAGCTGCAAGCTGATTCCCACAGGAGGTGGGATTTTTGTCCTGGTTTCCACTTGCCCCATTTCCAGACTTGCCTATTTTTCCTTCCTCCCCCACTCAAGTGAAGGGATGAGAAGCTCCAATAGCTTAGAGGAACTACCTCCTTCCCAGGCACGTTGCAAGAACAATTACAACTTCTAGAAACACTACAAGCAGGTTTCTCTGGGTGTCACAGTAAGTTTTGTTTTTCCTTAATGACAAGGGAACTGGCTTACCATATACATTGATTATTAATATATAGTAGTGAGCATTTTTTTCCTCACTTCTCTTCTGAGACCTGTTGAAGTTGTCCACCCTCTCAGGTAGTTATAGTACAGCTTCAGGTGGTCTGGAGTTCACAAAGTGTCAAGGAGACTCAGAGATTAAGGAAAGCACTGGGATTTGCAGTAATTAGAGGCTACAACTGTAGGCTTCTGCCCAGCCCCCAAGACTCACTACTGTTAAAAGCTTTCTATAATACAGAAGGAAAACAAAACTTTAGAAGGGAGCTACACCAGCACTCCAACTGCAGAGTAAGACTTCAAACCCAGAGGCAACAGCCACAGCATGCAGACTTACAGGGAAGTTCTGCCAACAAGAGACTGTAGCAGTGATGCTGAGCCCAACTGTGGTCTTGACTTGAGGTCTGTGCTACTGGTGAGCATGGGAAGGGCTCATGGCATGCCCTCACGGAGCACAGCTACTAGCTATACTTGTAAATGAACCAGGCAGTTTTCCTCACCTGGGATGAAAGTGGAATCATACCTTAACCATAATTAAAACCTATTCCTAGTGTCCTGCATCTCCAGCCTTGCAGCCAAGCCACTCACTGTACAAGAACATCAGGACAAGCATGGGCCACTGCCTCAGCTTCACTCATTGCAGCTTTCACAGCATCCATCCGTTCCCAGACAGCTTTGGTGAGCAAATCTTCCCTGAGGAGAGGAGGGCATTGCTATAGCAGTGTGTTTTCCAGGGTAAAATCCTGCCTCCTG